ACTCCTCGCATCATCCTTCACGCCCCATTAAAAGTTCAACCGAGAGCTGGTGACAGTGACATGCCCCTAGTCGTCTTGCACTGCTCACCTTGAAATTTTTTTTTTTTTTTTTGTGATCAGCAAAGATAAATTTATTTTATGGAGCACAAGGGGTACTCCTGCCTATTACAAATATAAAATCACCAGGGATGTTATATAGACCACGTCAACTGGAGCTTCTAAACACATTTGGCATGTTAAATTCAAATAAATCATTTTAACCAAAAAAGTAGACAGCCAAAACTACTTCATGAAAATGACGACTTTCCAGACTGCTTCAAAAACAATGATGGATCTCGCACCCCTCAAATCTTACTCTGTCGCCATTCCTTTCTGCTGTTTGTGGAACAGCTTCAGCTCCCGTTTGTATCTTCTCATTGATAGAGCACACTCAACTGGATTTACTTTTCACTCATGAAAAGAAAAAACACAGCCTTGTATCTTGTTTTTGATCCAAAAGAATGACTTGGCTTGAACCATATCTACTATTCTTCCCCTAATGTTTTCTTCCTTATTAAACACCTTACCATTTCTCCAATACCATATATACCATGAGACAACAAGAAAGATGCAAGCCCCTAATCCCCTCCTGCCAATCTCTATACCTCTCAACAAACCCTCCGATACTGCTTTTTGGACCAAACCATTTAATCCCTCTCCAATCATCAAGAATAGAAAAGGAGACAGCGGGTCACCTTGTCGTAGTCCTTTTCCAGCATTGAACTCCTCCGTTGGGCTGCCATTAATTAGAACTGACATTCTAGTAGTCGACAAGCACTCCATGATCCAACCTCTCCACTTGATTCCAAATCCCAATCTGTCCGTCATCCATTCCAAGAATGTCCAATCCACACAATCATATGCCTTGCAAAATTAGCCTTAAAGATAAATGCCGGCTGTTTCTTTCTCTTAACTTCCTCCACCACCTCATTCAACACCAATACGCCATCAACTAAATGACGTCCTCCCAAGAAAGCTGATTGAGTTTCACTGATTATCCCCGGCAATACAGCTTTAAGTCTATTAGCCAACACTTTTGATAACAACTTATACATACACCCGATCAAGCTAATGGGTCTATAATCCTTTAAATTCCCAGCATTAGGCTTTTTAGGAATTAAAGTTAGGAAAGATGAGTTCAAACCACTAACCAATCTACCATTCCGATGAAACTCTTTGAAAAAGCTCATAAAATCCTCCTTTAAACTATTCCATGCAAACTTGAGAAAAGAAAAATTATACCTGTCTGGGCCCGGACCTTTAGAGCCTTCACAACTTTGTAATCCTTCTTCAATTTCCTCGATGGAGAATGGTCGTTCAAGCCACTGTTTGTCCTCTGTAGAAATCTTCTTGAAGTTAACCCCATAAGGCTTTGGTCTATTCCACGTGTCTCCTTGAAAAAGCTTGCTAAAATAATTAACCACCTCCTTCTTAACTTGTATTGGTTCTTCCACCCAACAACCATCACACCATAAACCTGTGATATGATTTTGGGCTTTTCTACCATTTGCTATTCTATGGAAGAATCGCGTGTTAGCATCTCCCTCGTGTACCCAATTGCTTCTTGACTTCTGTTTCCATATCACTTCTCTTTTCCTCAATATATCCCACATATTCTGAAATCTTTCTTGTCTTTGAAGAATCTAAAAATCATCCAAATCAAAATCTTCATTTTTCAAATCAACATGCTCAACCTTTTTAACCGCCTGTTCATATTGAGCTTCCATATCCCCAAACTCATCTCGGTTCCAACCCTTTAAAAACTCTTTCAGTTTCTTTAGTTTCTATTTACACTTATACCCTGCAAATCCATCGACCTCCATTGCGCTCCACTTCTCCTCAATAACCTTCTTAAAATTCGGATGAAGTTGCCAAGCATCCAAAACTCGAAATGGCCTTGGTCCCCAATCCACTGTTCTTGTTTTCAACACGATTGCACAGTGATCAGAAATATTTCGTTTCAAGCCTTGTTGCACCCATTCTGCCCCCACACTGTACATCTCTGCATTCATCAAAACTCTATCCAGTCTGCTCATGGCTGTGCCATCTGGTCTGTACCATGTGAAACGCCTATTAGCCATTTTAATATCTATTAATCCTGCTGATGGAATAAACCCATCAAAATCCTTCATATCTGGGCTCTCCCCTGTTCTTCCCCTTCTTTCCTTAAGGCATCTAACAGCATTGAAATCTCCCGCAATCAACCATCGTCCTCCCTCTTCTGTAATCAAGATCCTTAACTCATCCCATAACTTTAACCGTTTCTGTCTATCATTTGGACCATAAACATTCACCATATTATACTTCACCTTATGTATTCCCCACTCCCCAGTTATTCTCAAATACCCATCACCCGTGGAATCTCCTGTCTTAGTGAAATTCACCTTATTCCAAAAACACAATAAGCCTCCTGAAGCTCCTATCGATTCCTTCATTTCCCAACCAAAATCTCTCGAATCCCACATCATTCTACACAAGTTGTCATCCACCTTTTCTAACTTAGTTTCTTGTAAGAATAGAAAATCCGGGTGTTCCATTCTCACCAATTTTCCTATTTCCTTCCTCTTCAACACACTACCCAAGCCCCTAACATTAAAAGACACTAAACTTCATTAACAAAAAATACCACCCACAACCACTCTACTAACTAACCTACCCATTAATCCCGCTTCCCCTTTCGTTCCCCTGCTTCCACCCTCTCTTCCAATTCTACCAATCGGGACTGCACCTCCCCTTCATTATCTTGGATTTGAATGCCCAATCTCTTTCCTACACTCATCATCCTCCTCACCTCATGCAAGGTCAACTCTCTCCGAACTATGTTGTTTCTATTTGCTATACAACCATCAGAAATAGAACAGCTACCAAGCATATTTACCTGGCTCGCTGCACCCAGAGTGAAATCTGCTTTCCCTCTCTGATGTTGCTTTGTTCTCGAATATGCCCCCTGTGTCTTTGTTGTCCGAATCTCCGTGACCTTTTCTGGATAGCAGTCCTCTACCTGTCTTCGCCGTCTACCCCCTAATTCTTTCAATTCCAGATCGCAATTCATAGAAGAACCCTCCTCGCAAGCCACTTCAAGCCCGTTCTTTCCAATTCTTGTCATCCCTCCTTGACTATCAACCCATCCCATGTCACTATTATTTCCCAACCCAACTTCTTTTTCCCCCACCGGCCCACTGTCCTTAGATGGCCCATTATCCTTGGATGGCCCACTAACCACATCTCTTCTGACACCTTTTTTCATTTCTGTACGCATACTTTCCATTTCTTCCTCTGTATTTTTAAAATTTGAATTTACCTTACAGAGGCTTTCCTTCATTAGCTGCTCTTCATCAATGCTAACGTCTTCTTCGCCACATATATCGAGATTGATCCAATCCTGATCTTCCTCATCACTCTGCTCCGAAAGATACTCCGAATCCGTTTCTGACACACTCCGCCGGTCACCGTCCGACAGCCACCAATCTGGGTTGGAGCGCCATTCTTCCTCAACAACCTGTATCTCATACCATTTTTCTTCAACTTTCATTGCAATCTGTTTCGAGATCTTATGCTCTGCATGACATATGACTAGAATTCTCCCATCACATAAAATTAATTTCGATGATGTGTCATCATGAATCTTCACCACCTCTCCCACTGATTCTCCGATCATCTTGAAACATCTATCGCTCCAGGCCTTCAACGGGATACCAGTAATGCGTAGCCATGCCATTCTGCTTCGATCCTGTACTTGCTTATCCCATGGTTGTATATCTTCAAACCACAAGGTGAATAATTCCTTATTATGGTTCATAAATTCAAGTAGAGATCTCGGTTCATGTTCTGTTAGTAACACCCTTCTTCCCCTTAATGGTGAGATTGTGATCAATCCACCATCCACATCAATTCTCTGTTGCACATCTTTTACTACAGTTAGTGATTTCACAACCACCACTAAACCCCCTTCAAGCCACTGGTTCTCTTCCTGCTCCGGTGTGAATTCCATTATTTCTTTTTGAGGTTCCACAATTCTATTCTCCGCCATACCTTTTTTGCCATCTAGTATGACACAGGATGCCACTTCCTCCTTCCTGTTTAGTTGCCTCGCTTGAATTGGTTTCTTTTCCATTTGGGTGATGCCCCTGTCTTCCCCTTTCATCGTTCCTGTACGATCCTGCAAGCGTTGGAAGCTCTGATTCTTTCCTTTCACCACCTGTGCATATGACTGTCCTGGCTGTACTAGCCTATCATCTCTATGCTGATTTCTGTCTCCCATAACTTTATCTTTTACACTTGCGTTACTTCGTTCCTCTGCTATCTTCACTCTCAATTTGTATGAACCGAACCAGATATCATTAAGTCTCCTCACTATCTGATTATCGTTCTACACCCCTAACATGCGCAGAAATCCAAATCTCTTCCCCCACTTGTCACGCTTCTTTGGCACATACACATCTATCACTTTTCCATATCTCTGAAAGCTGTACCATAACTCTTTCTCCTCACAATTTTCTGGAAAATTGTAAAAGAAAAAAGTCTTAGTCTGTGTTAAAAGCCTGTGATCTAATCCCGGAATCCACTGCCTGTTCCCTTGCTGCTGTCTGCTGCTGCTGGCCGCCGCTCCTCTCGCTCTGACCCTCATACCTCCGCTGCTAATTCTTTTTTTGAACTCTATTGTATTTTTCTCACCTTGAAAATTGACTCCAGAAAATTTTAGAAATCAAATTAAAATCAATAAAAAATTGAGGATTAAAAGATTTATGGCCTGTTTGGTACAGCGGTTAAAATTCAGCGGATAGCGGGTAGTGGGTAGTGAGTAGTGGGTAGCAGTTAGCGGATGACGGATAGCGGAAAGTGGGTAACGGATGATAAATAGTGAATTCGATCAATATAACTGTTTGGTTATACAATGGTTAGCT